TAAACCTTCAGGTAAAGGTGATACACGGCATATGAGGTCACAAATGGGTGTTGAGAAAAGGCATGTAAAGAAACCTTAATAAACCAGTTAGGTAATTGGAAATGGTTGTTTGGAACAAAGGACACAAAGTGACTTAAAGAAGATGGAGAGTACTGGGGACTCAAAAACATTTTGTCTCGAGTATCGAACAGTAGTCAATAAGCCTGCCTTATACAGGGAGATTGTGAAAGATGCAAAACCCTTGTCAAAGTTAAAAAATTAGTTATGGATGGCACTTCTGATCAAAATTGGTTCAACCTCCTTTCAATACACCATTGCCAAAATATGTGCCACTTGCATTAATAAATGTCCATCATGGGACTAAGCATAGCCTGAGAGAGTTACATGACAACCCTAGAATTAAACCCTGATGTCGTGCATAACCATCATGCCTGAACTTGAGCTTCTGAAGAGCCAGGTGTACCATGTCAGATCATGGCTGCCTCCACAGATATAGCCAAAGAGGAAGTAGAAGAGGTGGGCACTCCCAAAGGTACAGAAAAAGGTTAAATCAGGGTGTAGCTGCCAATCTGGAGCTATCAACATAACCCGACAATGGGCTGGAACAAATCATAGTTAGTACCTTGGGTAACATATGAATTGGAGGGAAGTCCTAGAGTTGTAATCCCATCCCATCTTGATGGAATGCATCCATTGTCAAAGCCCAAAGGTGAGGTACTGGAGATCAAATTGCCAGTAGTTGGGTGTTCAATTAGTGGCCAACCCACCAATCATCAGTGTTTCAAAATGAGAGCCAGTCCAACAGAAAACCTTGTGATGCAGCATCTATTCTGTGAGAAGAATCTGTTTGGGTCGAGACAATTGGTCTACTACTGCAGTCAACACCTGCGGAACATGGAAAACTAGTAGGGTGATATGATAGAAGTGGTCCCGAGAAATGAAATCCAAAGTTTGAAAACAAGGAGCCCTGGACCAAGTGCCCCCTTTATAGGAAATGCAAGACACCACCATGGAATTGTTGGAGCGAAGCCTGATGATGTTCCCCTTAATAAGCCCAGACCATGAGGCACCCAATCCCTGAAGCAAGGTATTAGTGAAGAGATGGATCTCTGGATGAGGTGGTGGCAGAGAAACTCATATCTTAGTACTGTCTCAACTTAACATCCCCTCGAAACTGGAGAATTATCCTGAATAAGGAAACGGGAATCCACTGAGTCGATTTTTATGAACCCTTAGTCACATAAAGACCATAGAAAGAATCTCTTGTGTGTTTGTTTCAAAGGCATGAGGGCATAATATATAATAATAATCCGGGAATTCATACAGTGTATTGGCTTGTCAATCAAATTTTTTTTAATGAAAATCAACTAGGTAACACTAAGAATGCTCAAAGTATCTCCAATGATCATAGTATTGAGAAATCTGTTAGTGAACACTTTGTTGAGAAAAACTGATAACATTATCTGAATGAGGTACTTTTATACAATACCAGGAAAGAGAGTGCATTGACATAGGTGGAAAGTGTCATGAGACAAATATTGCCAGGGGCAATTAAGTGGGGTATAAAAGATTGGAGCAAGCGAGAAAAAAATAAGAACAATGCTTAGATGGCAAAGGAAGAAACCGTGGCAGTCAAGTAACAGCTGTAGTGTGAGAGAATGTAAATATGTTTTGGAATTCACATGGGTGATTTGACTCAACTAAACTCTCTCAACCAGTCGATTCAACTAAGTTCATCAACGCAAATAACCTTAGGGTTTCCATACTATGTATCTTCATGAAATTTTGCAAGCTATCAGTAAACCTTGCAAGTCTTTTGCAGACAAAAAAATTAGAATTTTTAATGAAGTACTTTTGCTAAAAATTTCTCTATGAATACATGGAGTCAAAGTGTTGACTACTCCAAGTGCAAAGTGATTTCTATGTTAAGATTAAAAATACCTTTTTTTCATCTAAAAATTGTCAAACTTCCTTTGCATAATCTCTTAAATCTCCTAAATAAGTTTAAAACTTTTTTCCAGTAAAACTATATTTTTATCTGTTATTTTCTCTACCCTAACTCTATATGCATTCTGTCATTTTGACTGACCACCTAACCCCCATAAAAAATATGAAATAAATCTAAATTATCCTTTTATATCCTGCTATATAATCATGTCAACTGAGAATAGTCTTTAACCCACTGATTGCTTATTCACCAGATAGGCTACAGTCCACCTCTGGCAGTTGAGTGTGAGTGTGCTGTATATTGTCTACAGCTTGCAAAAATTCCATGCACGTTTAGTGCAGCCTCAGTCATCCCAAAAATAAAAACAACACAAAAGAATAAAGTAATTATTTTACAAGTATTACTTTTATGCTTGAGCATACTTTAACCAGTTTTAAAATACTTTGATTTTTACACTTAATATTGCTCTTTTCCTCAATAACAACTACTGCTGAACACAATAACATATCAAACCAACCTGTAAAATGCAATGTTTAAGTCTAATAATAGAAGCATGCATATGAAAAAACTGCTTTACTGATTAAACATACTTAACACATTTAAAAAAAAACTCTTGCCTTTTGGTTCCAAACAGGCATAACAGACATACTTCTGTGGCACATTTTCCTCAGCTTCAATATCAAAACATTCTCCATGCTGCCAAGCCAAACATACCTCACACTGGAAATCAAATGTTCAGAATTATAGTATCATAAAAGCAATGACAATGAATTAGAAAATAAAATATTTTCTACATAAATTGCCTGAAGGTTTACCATAGAAATGTGTATCTTAGATGTTATGAATGCATGATACAGCCCAGTGTTTCTCAGCCGGATTTGCCAGATGACCTCCCCCCTCCCTCCATCTGGACTTTGGTCATCATGACCCCACTTATTTCTATAAGGATGAAAAAATTATTTATATTTCTTGGTGCAGTTCATCATAGTTCATAACAAAGGTGTATGTGCACCTATCAGACACCTCAAGGACTCAAAATTAGTGCAGACAGCTCATGACCTCCTGGAAACTTGCTTGCAACCCCCTTGAGGGTCATGACCCACCCTTATCAGCTGTGAGATTTTAGATGTCAAAGATAGCTAAAATTAATGTATACCATTATTAGCATGTTTGCATATATTATACTCCAACAACTCAACGTTTGTGGTGTGTTTCAAACAGAATAGTAATTGTTTTATAGAACTAATAACAAGTACATAGTAAATGTTTTTGTTTTTTCTACCTATAAAGCTTAACCTCATAATCTAAACTTTCAAAACAATTTTTTTTGTAAAAATCAATATAAATCTATTAATTTAAAGATCTAAAACATTTTCCACAAACACTCAACTCCATCATTTATTCATTCCATTTAAGCAGGCCATGTGAAAGCAGCAAAATATTATTTTCTGTAGCAATCTTAAAATGATTGCCAGATGTTTTATTTAGTAAATATTTAATTCAAGTTTCTTAAGTTTTTTCCTGTTAGATGTTATTTTATTGATCCAAAAGTTTACAAAATTAATAGGGAAAACTTTAGAGCAAATTTGTTTTTGGAATACTCAATACAGAATTAATTAGATAAAAAATTTATTATACAACTTTTACTGCATTTATTTGGGTGAAAAAAATTAATTTTTTTTCTTTATTCCCATGGGCTTTCAGTGATTTCAAGATCAAGGACCAATTAATTATACTATGATATTTAATTTTTATACAAAATAGCTGAAAGACTTAAACAATCAACTACAAAAGGGTTGCTTAGTACAACTAGATGAAACAGAATATCAATAAAATAAAATTTTCAGAAATAACAAGAACTAATGGTAAAGTCACACAAAAACAATGTTAGTAGCATCAAAATTACACTACTAATAAAATACAAGCCTTCATAACTTTCAATTAAAAGGTAATTACACAATATAAAAATGCATTAAACAAAATTATTAACAGATATGTAAACCCAAAAAGTGAATTATGTTCAAATTACATGGATCAGACATACCTGCATCATTAATCCACTTTCCTCTGAGGACTCACAGATACAATGGACAACTTCTCCATCATAATAACATTCAACTTGACTCTTCTTGTTTTTCTTGTCCATGGCTAAGGGGATATCTAGTGAGTTTTCTGGTTCTCCAGCATCTCTGGAGTCAACAGTTTCTGATGAGCTTTGAGTGTCCTCATGTTTAAAAACACCTGCACCATAAAATTATTTTTCAACAACCACTTTACAAGACCCTAGGTGCTACATCATGTTAGAAATATGTTTGTATTGCAACTTGTAGTAATGTAAGCAGAGCAGTATAAAAAAAGTATGTTATCTATTTTAAGAAATTTCTTGCAATTGAAATTTTGGCTTCCTAACTAAAAAAAACACTGAAAATATGCAATACATCTGCATTAGTACTACAAAACAAAAATAAATACCATTCTGTACAGGTATAAATTGGAAACTTATATACTCTAAAGCATTACAAGTACAAATCAGTTTTTTTACATGATGAAAAGTTCAAGTTAATTCAATCAAATGTTGATTAATCTCTGTTAGAAGCCTTGAACAACAACCAATATTCACAATTAAATTACTAGTATTTTTCATGCTTTTTATATAAAAGTTTATTTATTAAATAAAAAACACTGCATGAAAAGTGCAGTCTACCATGTAATTAACATGAAGAATTGTTTTACTAGCAAGAATATGTCTATACATTTTTGGAACACTTTAGCAAAAATATCTTTTTTCAGAATCCACTATGTCTGATGCTAAAGAAGTATTATGAAATAATGAAATATCAATAAATAAAAACAGCAGTGAAACATTTCATACAAAAGACTTAAATCTTGTTTCTAACCTTACTTCAACTTTACCAATTTATTTAATTTCAGATACTGTTAACTCGATTGATTGTTGAAAATGATAACAGTTATCAATCATTTTTCTTAAAACCAACCTCCTGATAATTTACCATCCAGAACACTTGGAACAGAAGAAAACCGACGTTTTTTTCTTGGTACTTGTACATCTGAGAAACTCTCTTGGAGAGATTTGGTCCTGGTTCGAGAGGTTTCTGCTCAGGGAAAAAAAATTACAATAAAAATAAAGTAAAGGAAACTTTAGCTCAAAGTAAACTTCTCCTGGAAATACCAAATGACCTCACTGACACATACAGCTAATGCATTCATCACTTCATAAGTTCCAAGCTTGCACAATCAAAATAACCTCGTAGCATTTTATAAAATCATCTTTGAATGTCTTCACTAGCCAGACTTACCTTGTAACTACTTCAATAGCTACTTGTATTACCCATTCTACCCTTAATACAAGTTTGTATATTCTAACAATTGTAACTACTTCAATAGCTACTTGTATTACCCATTCTACCCTTAATACAAGTTTGTATATTCTAACAAACATTATTTTGAATAACCAG